TGCCGTATCGAGTACACTCAGCCCTTGGCCAGTCCCCAGCAGTCCAGCTTCCTCGGCATGCAAGGGTGTCTACCCAATTGAACGGTCTTCGTAAAGCGCGCAAGATACCTTACGAGGTATGAACAACCCCCCACCCCCCCTCCGAGGTAGCTAATTTGCATTTCATTCGTGAGAGACTCCCAGCCGTCAGGCTTTTCGACCCAGTATGGGTGGGGAGAATGGGGGAGCATTCATGATCATCATTATGTCTTGAATAAAATGCATAGCTGACTGACGCATGCTACTTTAGCCTACAGCTTGGGGGGGTGAGGGCCTCTTCTCTGCTCCCAAGTCCTGTACGAACGTCCATACGGACTCCGTATGGACGGGAAGTCCGGGGAGGCGCAGTACTTCCACATCTCACTGTTCAAGAACAGTACCTCGCGAGAAGCAACAGCAGTCTAGCCCCCTCTCTCGCCCAAGCCAAGGCACGGCAGCCCAGATGATTTCTTGACTCCCAACGCAACCCTATCTCCATCCACGACACATTCAACATCGTACCTACCCCCATTCCACGAGGAGAGCGGTAAAAGCTCTGAACTACATACGTCTCCCTCTGCAGTTCATAGCCTGCCGTAGACGAGGACATCGACCGAGGCAGAAGAGTAGTATATGTAAGTGCGCTCACGGTTCGCCTGTGCTTTTCCCAGGCGTCCAGAGTGGCGTAAATAAATCTTATTTTATGCTTTTCTTCTCTCTGCCCCCCCTTCTCTCTCTCTACCTCTCCCACATATGTAGCTGACCATTAGATAGTTAGTGTATAGAGCACTATTAACTAAGTTGTGGGAGATTGGCCGTTTCGTCTAATCTCACCACTTCTTTTCTTTCTTTTTTTCTTTTCATCGATCTATCTAGAACTTCCACCGTAAATCGTACGGGATACTTTATGCGGATCAACATTAAGTTAAAACTTCCCAGAGACGCGCGCGCGATCAGACACCCAGCCCCAGTCTTCTAGATCAATTCTTCCTCGCTCCCCTCCCCCCTTCCCTTTCCCCTCAAAGTCTCTCGACGTAGATCGTCGCACGCCTCCACGTAATATCACAGCGCGTTAATCTGCCTAATCTCGTAACCCCCAAATGTCCTATCTTTTCTTGGTCGTCGGTCAATTGTGATGGACACTGTTTTTCCGCGGGATTTGATGGTTATCTCTGTACAGTATCTGTCTACTACCGTATGTTCACCTTTTGGACCTAATCAATGATTGCCGTAGCTAGCTAGCTACCCGTGGCTAAGCGTAGCCTGAATCGAGTAGGGAATAGCGAAGGCAGAGTGAGTGAGTGAGTGAGTGACCTTAGCAAAGCAAAAAAAAAATCATAATAATTAAATCAAGAGAAAAGAGAAAGAAAACTCAGAGGAAACTCAATGAGTGAGCCGGAAGGAGGGGGGGCTCGCTCATCGAAACTCTTTTTTTCCTTGGGAGGAGGAAGAAAGGGAAGGGGGGGGGGGAGGTCGCAAGGCTGATGAAATCACACACAGAAAGACAAGCAGCCGCTTGAGTTTGGTAGTGTAGTGTGTTGTAGTATGTGGTTCGGGCGTTTCTGCCGTACCGGAGTACGGGTGGACGAGATCTTCTTGATCGTGGGTTTTTGGGTATGTCCATAGGCTAGCCACACCCAGAATACAAATCATACTTCGTTGACTTACTGTCGGGGGTTTTTTTGGTGGGGGAATACGATTTGGTTTCTGGGTGATTTGGAGGGGGGGATTGGTTGTGTATGCAGGTATTGTGGAGGAGGTGGTTCTTGCTCGTAATCATATTTATTTTTGAGTGTAGTGCCCTGTACATACAGACGGGGTAGAGTAGGTAAGGTAGGTGGTTTCAGGGAGGTGAAATTTGTTCGCTTGTAGCTGGACTTCATTCGCTTGTAGCTGGAGAGGGAGGCACAGGGCTGTGATTACATAGCTATCTTCTTAGAAATTCACTACGGAGTAACTGACTAACCAACTAACTACCTCATCACCTTTCCACAGCTCATAGACAAGGAACTGATTGGAGAGACACAGAAAAATATTAAGGAGAAGAAGAATCAAATATGGGTCTGGCTGCCAACGAAACGCTAAGTGAACGGGCCAAGCGCTACTTACTCACTACTTATCCACTGCATCAAATGATTCACGACTCACGAGTCACGACTCATTCGGATAATCCACTTCGCATCGACTTTGCCCCCGAATGATCGAAAAGCGCACCCAGCTCGGGACGGGGGGAAGAGACAGGAATGTGGAGCCCACACCCACTATCCACCCTTTACCCCACTTGCGGCGCAGGCGGTTTCGACTGTTTACCCGCTTGGGATAGTTAGACCGTCGGCTGGAGAGGCGTCCCCCTCTGGTTTCGGTTCTGCGCCTGCCAGCGTTAACTTACTCGTATTCAAAGTATTCCGACCGGAGCTACTTAGCAGGTAGGGCTGCGCTGGGCTCTGGGGCTACACGCCTTTCGGTAACTCATGCGATGGGTTGACAATCTAACGTCTACTTAAGTGTGATGGGGTGCTATCTATGCATAGTTCCAATCCGGGAGATCCTGTCCTGCTTATCATACTCCATTGCGCAAAACCGGATAGTTCAGGAGAAGAGGAGCTCAAAAGGACATTAAAAAAGCAACAAGAAAGAGGAGACCGATCTCAAATCTCAGACATTGATAGATATTCCTCAGTACTGTGTGCTGTATGTATAGCACGAGAGATGGTACCTCCCTCCCTACAATAAATTTAGCTTGCGTGCTGCAAGTGCTACCTACAAGTCGACTTAACTTATCTACGGAGTACCGTAGTCGTATATTGGAATTATGGAGCGAAGGAATGTGACGGGTGGGGACCACTATGATCCTACGATGATACTCATACTATCCATCTCGGCCGGACTGATAGTATGTCTTTTTTTTTTACCCTTTTCTATTCAATCCTTTCGCATAGCCCTAAGCTTTGCCGCCAATGTAGCGCTTCAAGTCTTAGACTAACTAACCCTCAATTCTCTGACGCTATCTTCTAGTCTACCGGTAGTCTACCAGACGAAATAAAATTACGAGGCCGTCACCAGTCGGGACATTCCGAAGGACCCGAGAGTCGAGACCATGTTCACCCCGTTCACGGTTTGGAGGGAGCTCCATACCGGGGATTTCGCTTGAGAGGGAAGAAAAAGTAAGTAAGTTTTACGAGGCATTCCTCTTTCTTTTCCTTTTCCTTTTTTTTTTTTCGCTTTTTGGTAGGGGCGGTAGTGACCCGAGTTCCCGAATATGACGGCTGAGGTCATCACTGTCCCCCGTCCATCGTACCATTCTTGGATGACCAGCAGATTTTTTTTTCTAAAAAGAAGAGAGAGCAATGAAAAAGAGAAACTCACTTCTGGAGCGACTGAAGCTACTACGTATGTTAATACTAGTTAGCTACCTTGGTAGGGGGCTTTGTTCTCAAAGCTGCGGAGAGCAGCAGCAGCAGAAAAGCTTCAAATCCCGAACTCAATCACCCAAGCTACTAGCTCTGACTTTCTTTCTCACTAGTAGCACGAAGTCATGCCTCCCCCTTCCTTCCCATTGTATTCCAGGTGCGAGAAAATTCTATAACACGATAACAATCACCTTGTACGCCCAAACAGTTTCAGAGAGTATAGTATAAGTTACCGGTAGATCTGTAGGCATAGGTATGCACATAAAAGTTAACTCTATACCGGACTATACCCCATCAATGATTCATCCCTTCCCCCCTCCCCGTGGCTCTGACATTCTCCTTCCTTTCCGACATGTACAGCACACCGTTATTCATACTTCAGATTCGCCGGACATAAGACTCCTTCCTAAACCGATCAGCCCCAAGAAAAAGCAAAATGCAACCACAGCAACTAAACAGCTGGAGCGTTAGCCGAGAAGAGTCTATACCCGTTTGATGCCCAGGCCGGATTTTGCCGCCAATCAGATGCTCGCCGGCTTTATTAGGCAGTACATTTCCGAGTCGGAGATCGCTGCATGAAGTCATACTCTCCACCTACCTAATATTTGAGTATACTTGCTGTCGATGAGATGCGCTGTGTTGGCGGTTACTGCTGCATGCAGGAGGAGGTGAGAAAAAAGATACTGTGCATATTGTCTATGTATCGATTGACCTGGTAACCTCAAAAAAGGGGGTTCTAGCTACGGAGTACGTTGGCTGCAAGTAGATTCGTTTTTTCGAGAGGTGCACTGTAGTACATATAGGAACATATAGGACACCCTTTGGATGCATCATTGCAGGTCTCGCTGTGGATTGTACATATGTACTATACTACTGCACCATCGTATACTTAGAGGGGACGTAGCTAGAATACTGTCCTGTATATCTACTGTACATAGAATATGACCTCGGCCTTGATCGAATATGCGTGAGTATATCATTGATATAAGTCCTAGCTTATCTCTTCCCCCACCCGAGGCGCACCCCCCCACACATCCCAGGATTAGAAATCAGTGCGTGGGAGGACGTTAACTATTGTCAGGCATGTAGTTAATACTGTATGTGCCTAAGCGAAGAGCATACGACATAGCACGATCTTTCCCCTCCCCTCCCTTACCCTTACCGATCGGCAATAATGAATGAGATTGTTTTTCGCAGAGTTTGTCGGATGGGTTTGCCGAGAGGACCCTGCCTTCCCTCCTTCCCTCCCTCCTTCCTTCCTTCCGACTGAGGTATCCATCGACTGATCAGCTGTATGTAGTAGCTCCTTCCGTTTCGCTCACCTTCCCCCTCATTGAAAATGATCAGTACTACTACATGCCTAATCTCAGGTGCATCATACCGACCTCCTCCCAATCACGCCATACAACCCTCTCCATCTACTCCAGTGTATGCACATACACATCCAGCTCTAGAGAAGAGAGCAACCACTACAAAACAAGAACAGAGCAAGTGGGTCACAGCAAAGTGGAGAGAGAGAGAGAGAGAGAGAGAGAGGGAGGGAGGGAGGGAGAGAGGGAGGGAGGGAGAGAAGGCAACTATTCTAGTGTCTTTTCTGCAGGACTTCTGCAGCATCTCACATAATGAGTTTGTCCGTCGCTGGTTTCTTTTTCTCCTCTTTCCCCCCCTCTCATCCCCTCTCTCATTTGCTGGCCTTTGCTTGCCAATCTGCAGCAGGAGATCCTGGACCCTCAAGGAGCAGGGAAAGGTCCAATCATCAAAATCCATGCAGAGATAGGAAGAACAGAGGACTAACCTGTTTGCTCCGGAGTTCTAGGTGGGCCCAGTCAACAGGACTATTGTTCATTCTGCACAAGCATCACAAGCACATGATTCGTCTACCTTTCGTCTACCTTACTCTTTCGCCCCCCACCCCTCCACTGCAATTGTTGCCAGCTCGCTAGAAGCCGACCAGTCAGATTGGCAAGATGGTATGGTCAGGAGGGATGGTCGGCACGGCCAGCGCCGTAGGGGCCGTCGGGCGGATGGGACAACAGACACGCGGCCGGATGGCGGATGGACGGAGATCCTGGCAGACCAAATCCAGACGGGGAACAGGGCTTCGATGGAGAGCACATCCAGACAGCTGGAGGCACGAACAAGACCGTCCTAGGCAAGGCAAGCGCAAGGCAAGGGGACGTGCCATCGTGCCCGTCGTCGTCAACGTCCTTTCTTCCATCCACCCACCCACCCACCCTGATCCTGCTCTGCGCTCCCCTGTCCTGCCAGTCGGCAGTGCTTTCCACCCACCCTCTCCACCGTTACATCACTGTCGCCCTTTCCCCTTCCCCTGGGAAGCTAATCTAGCTGCCGCCACCTGCAGTTACGGACGTGCAGAATGTTAGGCCTGCCTGATGCAGGACCCGACTTCATTAGTGCAGAATATTTGACAGGTGACTGCGACCAAAAGGTGCTGACGCTTGACAGGGGTTATTCACCGTGCTAAATAGTCCACCTATAGCTAGGTGACTGTCGCGCAGAAGAAGAAACAAATAGTTAGGTGCAGATCCTGGAAGTCGTTTCACTTCACCCTGGGCTGTTTATTGCTCCTGCGGCTGATTAATCCGCTGTGCAGCAGTCTCAACAGGTCTCATCCTACGGGGAGGTGAGATGGTCCGCACTTCTGTACTTTGTATGGCAACTCGTGTCGAGGCAGAGGAAAAAGGTATATGCAGAAACAGGTGTGTCATTGCTCCGTTCTTGGTTAGTTATCTGGACTATTCGCATTCGAGCAAGCTGTCGGCAGGGAACGAAGAAAAGCGACTATCGAAAGTCCTGGCATGAACCAGGCTAGACCTATTCGTCTGCCATATACCACAAGCGCAAATCTTGTAGACGCGGTACACAGTTCGGGGAGAACACAAGATGGCGGCGGAAAGTTACCCTCTTCTCGATCGCTAGATGGGTTAAATGTCTATGGTCCGATCTGAGAAAAGCTTCAGCGGGACCGATCCTATCAAGCTTCAGGCCTAATCGAGCGGGAGAAGCCGTGATTCCGATCCCCTAAAATCGACCATTAAGGTTCCCGACTCGACTGAGCTTGTTTCCTTTTCTGGTAGGTATCTAATTCAACTTGGAACAGAAATACTCTTGATTGAAATGTAGGTAGGCCCTGTGTGAACTGAACTAGCTAGCGAACTTCAAGCGTGGCGTATGATGATTCCGAAAAGAAAATTCAGTATATGCTCCCTCACCCCTTTCCTTATCTATGGTTTGTATTTGGTTGTTCCGAATGCCTGCAACGCCCTGACCTCTCTCTAAACCAGAAGAAGATATTCGGAGCACAAGGGGAAACAAAAAGGAAAGTAGAAACTGTATCCGGTGCCCCAACCCAAGCAATTCCAGTCGAAGCAAAATGAGATGTGGAAAAAAGAAGTTGTGTGTTAAGACAAGGTAGGTAGGCCAGAGCACAAGACTCTGACGAGTGAGAAGATTGGGGAGACAGTTAGATAGATGTGCGTAGTAGGTATGAAACGACACGTCCGGCTGCATTCACCGACAGGGGTTTAGCTGGGAAGCAGTCCAGCAGGCAAACAATAAGACGAGTCTACGTCAGCTCATACCTATGAAGCACCGCCCGCCCCCCCCTCCCTGCTGCTTCAGACGACAACAACCCCTGCCGGATAAATGGAACATGCCAGGTCTTTTCAAGCGGTCAAGGAATCTTATAGTAGTCACAATCAAAGATCCGCTTTAGAGCCAATCCGCTTTTGTCCAATGCAAACACGTATCAGGCGACGAATGTGACAAAAAACAAATCGATTCTAATGCCCTTTAATTCGGACCAGACGGTGTAGAGGTTGTCCCGGGCTTAGGCGCCACCGCAGGTGGTCCCAGCGGCGGTATGCGGTTGAGGGAAGGCGACGACATGATCGATTGCTGGCCGTTCAGTTGCGCCGCCTGCTGTCGCAGGGCATTCTCCCTCTGCCGGCGCTCCTCTTGCTCCGGGGTCATGCACTTAATTGGCGGCGGGATCGGCGCGTCGGGCGAGCTTCGGCCCATCAACTTGGGGCTGGGCTCGAGTTTCTGGATCGGCGGAAGGACGGGCGCGCCGGCGATGCTGCCCGAGGTCATGGGCCGGGGCGACTGCTTGGTCGGGCTGATCCCGGAGAAGGGCACGCCGTGCGAGCTCTGCGGCGGCGACGACCGGCTGCCACCACCGCCGGTAGGTGTGGCGATGAAGGACGGTCGGCCGTTGCTGAGTGGGGGCAGCGGGACATTGCTGTTGCCCGTGTTGGGGCGTGGAGTCTGATGCTGGCCGTGCGGTGTCCAGGGAGCCACACGGTCCGAAGATGCCCCGGGCGGAAACCCTGCAAGCGGACCGACGTCGCGGTTTCCCTGGGTCGGTGACATAGAGGGACGGTTTTGGATGGGAGACGGAAGGGTTGGGCTGTGTACGGAATGAGATGACGATGGGCGCCGTCCAAAGAGACCGCCGCCAGTGAAGGATTCACGACCGTTAAGCGGCAGCTGCATTGAAGGAAGTTTGGGGGGCAGTTCCTTGGATGCTGGAGTAAAGCCATTCATGCCTTTTGACGGGGAGAATGGAGCCCGAGGGGAACTCAACGGCGCTGCATGCGCAGACGAGGGTCGGCGCTCGGGAGATGCTGGGGGCAAAGAGGGATATTGATCAGAAGTCCGAGAGATCATGTGTGGTAGGGATGGTAATTGTTTTGAAGGAGATTCAACTGAAGGCATGGGGCCAGTAGACTGAGCTTGTTTCGTGGCTGGAAGGGGGGATGTTTCCGCGTCCCTGATCTTCTGCTCGCCGTCGGCAGCGCCTGAGGGTGAATTTGAGGAACCGAGTCGGAATTTCAACGGCGGAATCTTGGGCTTCTTCGCCTCCTCATCGCGCCTCTTGCAGTCATCGCAGACAAAATGGAAATCTTCGCGCTCGGCCTCGTGTTTAGGGATACCAAGACACTTGCTGTGTTGCCACACATTGCACTTTTCGCATGCGACGCTATGAGAACCATCATCCTACCTTGAATTAGCAGACGCGTCTTATCATCGGCGCTTGAGACTTACCAGGTTCTGACCGTGGACACCGCAGCCCGAGCAATCAAATGTCCACTGATCTTCTTGGGAAAGATCTTCGAGATTCTTCCGGTATCTTTCCATCTCAGCCCTGAGATGCCTCTCGGATGCTCGACTCTCGCCTCGCTCGACCTTCTTGTGCTCTTCCTCAATGCGCTGCAATTCGTTTTCGTGCAGAATCCGCTTGCGCTCGCGATCCTTGGTACGCTGCTCACGAGTGATGATGCGCGAGCGTCTCTCTGCCTCAAGCTTCTTCAGTCTTTCTTCCTCCTTGAGAGCCACGGCTAATTCAGTTTCCCGTTTACGCGATGCCTCAATAGCCTCGCGCTCTTGTCTCTCTTTCTCCGCCTTTCCGGCAAGTCGACTGGACCGCTTGGCGCCCGCAAGCAGCTGCATGTTGGCAAGTTCCTTCTCACGCTTGACCTTTTGTCGCTGATGGGACTCTTCTTCCTTTTCGATGATGGGAAGGACCTGCTCCACAATCCGATCACGGAGAATCTTCTCATCGGGATCCCTGGTCTTTTGGATCGTCTCCAGGAATTGCCGGTAGTCCGAGAGGGTGATAGCAATGCATTCCCACTGCATATCTGCGAAGGGATCCTTGGAAACTTCCCCGTCCGCGGCACCATCATTCTCCTCTTCGGACTCTTCCACAGGGTCAGCCCCAGTCACCTTTCTCCGTTTGGACGCTCTGACCGCCCGGGCGCTCTTTCTCCTAGACTTGCTCTTGACCGGCTTGGGTGCTGGGATCGGGGGATCGGTCCGACGATAGAGTCTGTTGTCGTCCAGGATGTAATAGTATCGTCCATCGCGATCGTAGCCTATCTCTTCAATGCGCTAGGAACGGAATCCAAAAGGTGAGCGACTTGAGCATCACGAAATCTCTCCGCAGGGAGGCACCTACCCATTGTGTCTGATCCAACTCGCGCTGTTCCGGCATCTTGTCACGGATGCGGTCGGGGTTCCAGAAAGTCCAAATGGACAGCTGGTGGAGAACGCGAAGCTTCAAGAACACATCAAACTCCAAGAACCTATTGGGAACCTCGTCATATCCAAAGGGGTTCGTGATATGGGGGGCCTTCGCGTTGTACTGGCGTCGCGTATACTCATCGAAGTTGTCGAACCTAAGAGCAACAAGGACATGGCGTCAGCAGTAACACACAGGTAAGTTGGGTCCAAGACTGTGACGTACGTGAGGCCACGATGCGACGACACCCATTTGAGGAGACAAAGTCCGATCTCCAGGAGTTTTTCTGACGACTCCGGCTTCATACACTCATTTTCTAGGTCCTAGAAAGCAAACGCGAAGCGCAAAATGTCAGTTGATTGCGAAGAAAGCGCGACCGGAGGATTAGAGAATAGCAACGAGAGCAGCCCGGGCCAAAGAAAAAAAAATAATAAATGAAGGAAACCTCAGCCGCACGGATGATGCACCCATACCTCAATTCCAAAATCCTCATCAATCTTCATAGGTTTCCCAAAAATGGCGATGTACTGCATGAGATTCGCAAATTCCCAGCAGTTCCGCAGCTTCTGAAGGAGGCCCTGTTCCTCAGGTGGCTGCTCCGGAGCAGCATCCGCCTCGGAGCGGGCGCGCTTTCGCGATACCATGACGGCGGATCAAGACCATCAAAGGCGCCGCAGCGCAAGACAAGGTTCCGACGGGAGCGGCGAATCCGCTTCTGCAGTGAGAGGGGGGAGATTTTGTGATCGGTTGGAACGTAAGTAATGATATGATATGATACGTGGGAGATCACGAGAGTAAATTGCACAGAAGGTGGCTCAATGTAACAAGCGGAGGGGAGGGCAAGGGCGTGATCGACGGGATGGTGGGTAGTTTAGTAGTTACTGAGTAGACACAGGAAATCGTTCGCCAGGGCGGGCGGGCGTGTGTTCGTTCGGGGCTGGGCTGGCTGAAGAGATGAATGAGCTCACAGGCCCGTCCGTCTCACTGCGGCGCGTCGAGACCACCGGTCAGGTGACGTGGTTTGGTTTGGTTTGGTTTGGTTCGTTTGATAGTGGCGCATCGATAAGCCCTTCATTCCAATATTGATTCACCCCTCTGTTCAAGGCTGCAGGCTGCGCTTCTGTAAATAGTAGATTTTGATATTAACTAAGAATAAAGAGGCAGTATGCATGCGATGGTAAAGAAAA